GTTCAGCATCCAGTTGTGCATAGAGTGTTTATTTATTTATTTATTTATTTTTTTGTACTGGGAATTGAACTCAGGATCTTGCACTTGCCAGGCAGGTGCTTTGCCACTGAGCTATATCCCCACATGCATAAGGGTGTTTAACTTAGCCTGAAATTCAACAGACTTGACTGTACTCACAAAATGGCTACTGAGAGGGCTAAATAAGGGGGTAAAACAGCAGGGTAGATTATACTGAAAAAATGACGACACAGGGAAAGCCTGAAGGTTCTGCGCTAGGATTTCTGCATGTTTGTTAAGGCCAGCTCTGAGCACATAGAGTGGCAATGTTTATTAGTCCAGTAAATGATTGTTAAAAAGGTAAGCAGTGCAGTCACTGGCTGTTGATGAGACTTTGCTTTCTGTGTCTGGACAGGCTTGCTCCAGGATCCACAGTAAATATTGTACAGAGGTAGCATTGAGGCAGATACGAAGTGGGCATTTCTGTACATTTACAGTGATCTCAGAGTAAAAAAGGAATCTCATGAATTCTCGTCACTGGGAGTATACTGTCATGGGTCAAGAGTCACCTCCCAGGAAATTTTGTGCAGAACTTGCCTCTGATGTATGAGTGGCATGTGAAGCTTGACACTGAAGGTGCCATCAATTCTAGGATTCATCAAACCATTCATTCATATGATCCAAAAATATTCATGAGGAATCGACTGCCCCAGGAAGTGAGGAGATAATGGTGAGCCAGAGCAGACAAGGCGCCCACCCCTGTGGAACCTGGAGCTGAGGCCTGCAGTCCCCAGAGCAGGCTGCGTGCATCCTATCAGTGTGTATGTGGCAATGCTGGAAGCACTGCTTATGTTGTGATTTTTATGATTTTTATTCTTTTATTAATTTCCATATTTTGTATATGTCTATAATATCTGTATTATGAAGGTAAATAAGTGTCATTAAAAATAAATACATGTATTTTGAGAGGATTATATCTCAAAGCATTTTCTTTCTTTTATGGGGGGTGTGTACCAGGGTCGAACTTAGGACCTCACTTTTGCCAGGCAGGTGCTGCACCACTAAGCTAAACCCCCGGCCCCCAAAGCATTTTCACTAGCAGGATGTGTGATCAAACATTTGGTAACTTCTACTAAAGAATGTCAAATCATCACAAAAATTAACAGAAAACTACACTTGTATCAAGTGCCACATATGCCTCCTAGACCCCCTGTTTTGGACTATTCCACCCTCATCCAACACACACGTTTTATGTCCTGATACTGTAGGAGCCTCTACGTGCTGGCATGGTAGGAAAGAGCACCACATTCTCACCCTAAGTAGCTGTTAGGCCTAGGGGAGAGGACTTCACCCAAGAGCGCTGTGAAAATCCAGTCGTGTGTCTCTGTCTTGGTGGTGTTAGGGAGTACTTTGGGTCATTTGTTTGTTTGTTTTTTAACCACTATCATTTACACATGAATCTTTTATAAACCAAGGGTTTTTCTTAGAAGGGCTGTATGAGGCATAGGGCCAACTCTCGAAGCAAGGATGGGAGAGCCAGGAGTTATCCCTAAAAGGAAGCTGCTGTGGGCATGCCCCTAGGAAGTACTCCTATGTGAGAGAGTGCTATGTGGACAGATAGGGTATGTGTTATGTCAGATGCCAGAGGCAAAAAAAAAAAAAAGGAAAGTAAAATGTAAAATTGCATTTAATGATTACAGCGTGTAAGGTCATCTTTACAGCTTTCCTGCTTACACACAGGTGAGGTCGAGCTGCCATTGAGAAGTGTGTAGGATTCCAGGGCTGTGCCTCATGCTGAAACCCTCAGGGTCCCTGCCTCACTCCAAGTGAGTCCTGACTCTCTTGGGTGAGATAAACCCTTCACCAAGCCTGGTGTCTGGTCAAGGCTGTCATGGGCCTTTTGCTCAGCTCCTAGCCCTCCCATTTCATCTCTCTTCCCAACACCCCTTTCACTTGGGTTTATTTTATTAAAGCTAGTTCAGGTTCCTCTGAACAGCGTGCTTTTTCTCACTTCAGCTTTCACTTATGCTGCCCTGCCATTAGCCAAGAGCTCGTCCCAGCACTTAGCTGGTACCAATCCTGCAATGGCCCTTGCACACCATGTTCTTAGTGCATGTGTAAGTCTTTGTATCCTCCATAGGACTGCACGCCTCATAATGGGGGGAGTGTACCTGTCTCCCCAGCTTGGGTCCCAGTACTGAGTCCCACAGGAAGGGAAATCATGGCATTTTATCCCAGCATGGGTCCCTTCTGGTGATGAACTCAATTCTGGACCATGGTCCTGACCCTGGTTGAATTATTGGCACAGAGATGAGGTATGGCATCCTGAAAAGGTTATTTTATTGAATACCATGCAGTAGTCATCAGGAAGAGAGCTGGACCCCATTCGTCTCTTTGCAAAAACCATGATTTAAGTTGAATGCCTACTGTCCTATCTCAGTTTTCCCACCACATCTAGTCAATGCTTACAAATCTTTCCAGAGCCAGTTCCCATATTACCTTCTTCTGCAGATCTTTCCTGATTAGCTTGTAAAGAGTTAGGAAAGAAAAGTTTGTTTTCTTCTACTTACATTGCAATTATCCACTTCCACATGTGGTGTTCCCCTTTTGACTAGACTATGACTTCCTCTGCACTAAGACCATCTCATGATCATTTCTGTATACTCTCTAGAGCTTTTGAAAGTCACTGCAACACATTAGGTGCCAAATAAATGCTTACTGAATGAAAAATGGATTGAAAATAAGGTAGGTTTAGAACTCCCACTGCCTACTCACTGTTGGGATACCGCCAAAGGAATTCTTGCTAGATTCACTGGACACAGAATTTCATTAATAAAAGGAGATCTTAATGGTAATAATATTAATGACTATGGCAGCTAATAGTATCAAATGCATACAGGTGCCAAGACAAAAATTGCCAGCTTTAAAGCTGTAAGAACAAGATACAGAGCAGACTTTAAATATAATTAAAGAGCAGAACGAGGATAATTCTTGTTATAAAGAATCACCCCTTAATTAGTTATCCAAAAATATGACAACAGTCTAAAATTCCACTGAAAGCAGCTTTAGGTCATTTATTAACACAATGTGGGGGTGCAGTGTCAATGCCAAAAGTAAGAACCCACTATTCATACAGATGTCTGGGCTGGGAAGTAAATAACTTATTTTTTCTTGATGGACATTTTATAGTAGCTGAAGTTAAGATTTTCCTTTGAAATTTCTTTCCTGGTCAAAGCTACCTGTGAAAATTAGCATAGAGCAGCTTGTCCTATATAATGTTTTAAAGAATAATGAAAAAGATCCAGTTAGGAAAAATAAGCTTTAAAAGACAAAAACTGAGGGTGTGATAAATGTTGATTTGCTGTATGATTTTTTTAGAGATGTCAAATGCAAATGAATATATTTGGCATAAGAAGGACACGAAAGGAAAACTGGTCCTGTGGTTTAGCCCAGAGTTCTTCAAACGTGCTTGACTTGAGTTCTTTTTATAGAGTGCTTTGCTTTTGTTTCCATGGCATTAATATTGGGAAATACTATCTTGGGAGGGCCCAAGTCCCCCTGTGCTGGGATTCTAGCAACATATCCATGCAAAGGGGACTGCTATGAAGACCCACCTGGTTTAGGGAAAGGAAGATTGACTATGCTTTAGGCCAGAATAGACTCATGCATGGTGCTATTATTTACACGATAAAATCCAACCTTATAGAAAGGCCGGGGAGAAAAAGGCCAAGTCCTAATCAATCCTTGGAATTAGCAGTTCAGTTATTACAACTGTATCACACAGTCATAGGAATTTATATTTTCATTTTGTCCCAAAGAAAAACTTGACCATCTTTCTTTAATATCATCAACCGGGAGGCTTGACAGTAAGGATTAAAAATTGCTCCTTCCTTCTCACTTGGTTATTGGAAAGGCTCTGAAAGGTAATCAGTCTTGTGAAGCTACACTTTACAGTCTGCATAAAAATGCCATGATTTCCCTTCCTCTCCCCAACCTAATTGAAAGTGCATAATATCACCCAGCTGGGGAAATGTAAACGGTAAACATATGCAATATATCATGCTATCACACAAAAGCTGGTTACTAATAGGAAAGGGTGGTTTTCAGATCCCTAAGAAATCTGGAAAACATGTCTTTTTTTTCCCATCTAGAATTTGCACAAGCCACCTCCACCCTCCAGACTTCAACCCGCAGTCAGATCACAGTGAGGTCAGTCAACTCCCCTTGTATGTGAATTCCAAGGGTCACCTAACAATGCACAGTGACCATAACTCTTTAGGTCATTCTTTCAAGACCCAAGGCATTTTACTTTTGTCAGGAGGTGGGGTTGGGATGATTTTGTTCCCTACCTACTTCAAGTGTACTGACAGATGGTCCTATTATGTCTTTCCTTAGGTGCTAAACCTAAAGATCTGTGGCCTTGTCACCTCCTATATTTCTCTATTTCATCAAACTCCTATTGCCAAGATTATCTCCTTTTCCACCTCTGATCATCCATGAATATCTATATAAGGTCACACTGTTTTAAAGCATCAAGTCCCAACCTTACTTTACAAACATTCCTGTACCTCTGTAGGTATCTATAATTCACTTCAATTACATCTACTTGGAAGTCATCATTTTCTTTTCCCTGACTCCTCACCTCTAAATGTCAGGCCATCTTCCTAAATACGTCTTATACAATAGGGCTCCTAGGAGAAAGGACAATATTCCTTCACAGTTTTCACCATTCGTTCTCTGTCACAATATTCCTGCAAAAATTGCTCCCCATTGCAACATGAACACTACTACTACTGTTCATTCATGCCACCTTGTAACTGGCTATTGTTTTATTTTTGATAGCTCATACCTTACGGGTAGGTCAAGGTAGTGCACTTGTCTAGGGCACCATGTCATTTCAGCTTTAATAGATTGAAGGATATATTTTTATCTGCTTCAGCAGTAGAGATGATTTGAAACTTACTGAATTAAAACCACATTCATCTTTCACTAAGTTTTATTACCTGTCAGCTGGAGCTGGCGGATGATATGGCTTGTTGACCTTGGCGTAGAGACCCTCTAAGTGGTCTCTTTCCGGAGACAGTGGGCGGCCATCCCTAGGGTAACCAAATGGTCCAGCCTGAGGAGGAGATGGAGATCTAAAGACATTTGCTGATGCACATGGCTCCCGAAAGTGGTTCACTCTGGCATAATTGGGGTCTATTTCATCATCATCCATATCGTGCACTGATCCAATTGTACCAGTTGCATAATCGAGAAGACCTCTTGCTTGCTTTTCTCTTAGCTCTTGATGTTTTGCTCCAATCCTGAAAAAGGCAGAAGAGGTAGCAGAGCAATGTGAGTTTTATGTGCTAATACAGCGAAATATTCACCTGCTTCTGTTCATTCTTGCTAGTCACTTAGCTGCCACTTCCTGTTGTCTCAAGATCATATCATGCAGAAATGCCAACAGCATAAGAGGATGAATTTTATATTCTGATCTTTATTTGTTCTGGGGTCTTTATTTGGATAGTGAAGCCACAGATATTTTGATCTTGTGCTTACTGATAATGGGCTGATAACAGTTGTTCCCTACAAGTAGAAGATATTTGTGGGAACAGTGCACTCTGGCTGGGTGCTATGTCCTTTTTGGGGCAGGGATGCATGTTAAAGGGCCTGTCATAATCTTACACTTTTTCTATGACTCCATTATTTACTGTTCTGGAGTTCCAGTGCATTCTTTTAAAGCAAAGAGTTTGCAAAAATTGATTTAAATATGAAAAAGAAATACACAGCTAGTGACTAAAAAGCAATGGGATCAGGGGTAATTTATAAGACACTATAAGTTTTTTGGTTACACAAATGGGGATCATTGTGTCTTGTTATATAGGGGATAGGGACAGAATAAAATAATGAAGAAATTAATAGGCTCCTGACAGAGATGAATTGGCACATATAGCTGAATTAAACACCATTACTGGCAGAACTCCATCGGTCTAAAGCCTTAAGTGATATTACAAACTGCTACTTCTAATCAGGGCCACTGGATAGATTACTGAGAATGAAACAGAAAAATATACACAGGTGGATTCCAAATCTATGGTAATTTGACATTGAACATGGGAAGCATTAGATCAGCTGTCCTAAATTCCCAGTTAGTAATAAACTAGGAGGATCACTGTGACATTTCATTGGACAGTGGCACACCTCGATGGTGTGAGGGGGTCTTTAGCACTAATTAGGAAGGAGTTTAACCTTCAATTGCTCGGCAAAATGGCGCAGTTAGACGCAGAGGTGGGAGAGTAAGGTGATGCTGACTCAGTGCTAAAGAAAGATGTCCCAGAAAGGAGGGGAACCCAGGGACTATGAAGGGGCTGTGGCTGGAAGTGAATGATCTGTGTATACATGGAGACAAACAGAGAAGGCCTGGCTGAGTTACAAAATGAAAACCAAAACCCCATAGCATCCTCTCCTCTTCAAAGAAAAACAGTTGTTTTTGTACATGGCAGCTAGTTTTATTTTACAAAACATCAAACCCTTTGTAAAAAACTTTAGAAGCCATGAGTTTTCAAGGTATTTCCTCTTTTGGTAGGACAGCTTTTTTGTTTTTATTTTTTATATTTTCAGGTGGAAAGGACAAGAAAAGAAATAGAAAGAGGGAGAGAAAAAGCAATAAAACAAACAATAAAAAGGCATAGAATATGAAAAAAAAACCTAGCATCTATCCTTAAGTAACAATAGATGAAAATAAGTGCCAGGATATATTACTGCATATCTCCTTTGACTAGGCCAAACCATGTACCTCACACACAAGTAATTAGAAGAATTTGTATTTTTGCATAAGGCAGCTTGAATCTCAAAGGGATTTTGAATTAAGATGAAAGGAAGATTACACGGTAGGGCACCCGTTAAGGGCCTTGCTTGTCCTCTTTCAATGCATGTTAGTCCTAGATTCATGGATGTTTGTTTTGAATAATTTTTGATAAAAAAGATAACCCGAGCCATTCTGCAACAAAACAATCTTTCCAGGGATGGTGCACACTCGATTATCAGAGAATGCTTGCTGCACTATGATGATAGGGATGGATTTCCATTGCAAATAGAGTGAAAGACATCAATAAAGTTAGGGGGTGGGATTGTGTGTGGCTCCTCTCCTTCATAAGTGGGATGCCTTCGAGAGAAATCATTCAACAGAAAGATGAATATCTCATGGATGCCGCATGGGGCTATTCTTGTGCATTAGAGGAAGAGGAAAATACCAAGCCTGATTTTCTAAAATCACAGAAATAGATCACTGGCATGTGTGGTCCTTATTTTGTCCCTCTGTTTCTCAGAGGTTTTCTTAATAATTGAGTGCATTGAGTACGTAGAGATTCTCAGATGAAAAGTACTCCGTGGAGGCAAAGCCGTACTTTATCTTGTGTTTTTCCTTTCTGAAACAAAACCAAGTTCCACCCTGATCCTCTCTGCACCACTGAATGTTGCACTAACTAATTTGATATTAATCACTCAGTAGGTGAAGTAGTAATTTCTCTGAACCATCATTATTATGCCATATATCAGAGTTTCTCCACGTGGGGGATGACAAGGAGTCTCTGAGCAAGGGTGCGTGGAGCACAAGAGACTGTCTCACAAAAGAAGTGTCAAAAAGTTTTTTTTTTGATTTTTTGTTTCTGACCCCTCCCCCAATTTCCTGTGAGAATTCTAATTGTTTTTAGTCATTTCAACACATACATCTTCTTAACTCTGGAAATGTAAACTCTTAACATATCTATTTCTTAAAATAGTCTTATACTCTGCCCTTTTTAAATGCATGGTACCATGCTACGGGTTTCCACATTCTCCTGAGCATACTGCTTTTGAATTATTTAAATTTCCTTTTTCTCTCTTTTCCTTTGAAAATACTAATTTTGTTTGTCTAACACCGTTTGGAATGTTCTCCCTTTTTTCCGCTTCATTAGCCACAGTCTAGTGTTCAGGCTTTTACACCACCCAGATCCGTACTATCTAATATAGTGGTCAGGAGCAGTGTGTGGCTCTAACAATGTAAATGTGAATTTATTGAGATCAAATAAATAATAAATTGTTTGAATTCCAACACTGTAGAAAATTTGGCTGGACTATGTTAATCTAGATTATTCTAAGAGTTTTAGTATGTCACTTCATCCTACTTATGTATCTCAAAAGGCTGCCACAATAATATTACTTAAAGAAGATTTCCATTGTGTCTTGGTCAGATTAAGCATCTCTAATGGAATGAGTAGGATTACTTTCCTTCCCTGAAAGTCTAAGTGAACAACTGAAAAACTGGGAAGAAGTTTTCATCCATAAAATGGCCATAATCTCCTACTTTTCAATGAAATTGGGACTCAGACCAAAAGGGGGAATAAGATACAAGTGGATAAATGTTTATGTCTCTAGCAGGGTATATCTTTTCATGAAAGCCAGGGATGCTGTCCAAAGGAGTGCAGATAGTAAGCTTTCCCTAGAAAAATTGAATGTATAGACAGGAGTAGAGCCCTGGAATTGTGGGCAAATCCTTGTGCGGATCTAGCTGCAGAACGGAGGAGAGGCAGGGCTAAGAGCCATCTGTCTTCCTAGCAGTGTCCTCCTGAGGAAACTTCCTGGCAGTGAGATGACCAGAGGGAGGCATCAAACTACCTTGTATCTGAAAGCCAGAAGAGCAAAGACATACCCTAACTCATGAAAATGAAACCAGTCCTGTAGGAGACTTCACTAAGAAGAGGGCTGGTCTCTTTTCAGGTTAACTGGTGCTTTAAAATAAAAAAACATAGGGAACAAACTGCAAAGGCAGTGCATGGAGCAAATTTAGAAAGAAGATTCTTTTGAAAAACTGCATAGAACTGAAGTTATTAATGACCATAGGTCACTACATACATATTATCTAACACAATAGTTTAGCATGGTTTTCTTTTCTTTACATATCAAACATTGTAGAACACTAATTTAATTGGTCATATAAGCATTTAAAATTAAATACAACAGAGAGATAAAATATTAGAACTTATTGCATGCTGTAAGTGTAAGGATTATGTCTTGGAGGTGAAAAATAAAGTCATCTAAAGTTCAGGCAAATTCAAGCCAGCTTGAAACATGAATAAAGACAAACTAACAACACCCACAAATACTTAAAAACATGAATGAAATATTATACTTGTTAACTCATCTTGAAAAACTAATAATGGAAAGCAGCCAACCAAGAATTGAGTCAAAATGAAAAATTCAACCCGATTCCCCTGCTCTGGATGTCCTGCAAAATTGATTTGTTGAAACTCAGTCCCTATTATGGTGGTATTAAGAGGTGGGACTTGTTGGAATGTGATCTTAGACTTCCCAACCTTTAGAATTGTGAGAAATAAATTTCCAGATTTTATAAATTAGCCAGTTTTTAGCAACTTGTTATAGCATCAAAAACAGACCAAGACAATGATCAATCTGTAGAATTACAATACAGTCATTTACTTATAAAGCTAAGGCTAAACATTATGAGAACAATAATTTCATAAAGATGTAAGTATTGTGTACCCTGGCAATATAAAAATTATTTCACTAGTGAAAAGCAGAACTCAATAAAGAAGTTATTTAATAGATAAGACTACCACTAATCTCTTTATTTCCTTACCTTGTAGAGCAGGTATCAATAGTTATACTTTGAAGTTGATAAACTAAGAAATAGCAGATTGAGTATAGTAAATATAATTGCAAAGAAACCACTGAAAGAACAAACTATCAGCAGGAGAGAAATACACAAAAGAAACTCAGATCATACAAAAGAAAATAGAAAATAGAGGAAATAGTAAGAAAACCACAAATAAGTTGATCAAAATTATAACAATACTGCATGAGATCATTTTCTGTATTATAGCTACAGATTATAATACAGATACTATATACAGATATAATCCAAAAGAAAAATACTGAGTGCTATTAATAGTAGCAAAAAACTGAACAGTTCAAATGTATATGAATAGGGAACTATGAAATAGGTATCACGCACTTCTAAAAAAGAGTCACAGTATTCCTGTTCTAAAAGAGGATAATACATATGTATACGTGTATATAATATTTATAAATTGTACAAAGGTATTCTTGAAGAAATAGAAAATTCTGGAAGCACAAACAGTAGTTGCCTCTAGAGGGTGGAACTGGACGTAGGGTTCTACCTTGCCACTACTTGCATTTTGAGAAGATCCACGTTAAAGAAAACTTAAAAGTTTTTTAAATATGAAAATGTTTCTAACAACTGTAAGTCATAATGAATCAAACTTTAATCCCTGTCTTCCAAGTCTCATTGTTGTGACCACAC